CCAAACTGAGGGATGATCTCCTTTAGCAGGCATCTTGATACCTCTCGGGCTTTGTCAGTTCAGGTGGGGAAAGCTTCCACCATCCTGGGAAGGTACAGACAAAAACCAATCTGGCCTTCTTCCGAGAAACTTTGTACCCTGCCTCCCATAAAAGAGAGATAAGGAGAGGAATCCCTTCCATACAGTCCTCCTGAGTTGGTCCAGCTAGCCTGAGGTCATCCATGTACTGGAGGAGTGCACAGCTATGCTGGTTGGCTGAGAGAGCTTTGAGGTCAGATGCCAAGGCAGTTCCGAAGATAGTGGGGGAGTTTTTGAAGACTTGCAGCAACCAAGTCCAGGTTAGCTGCCCCTTTTCCCCAGTATTGGGATTTTCCCACTGGAAGGTAAAAATAGGTTGCCTCTGTGGGGTTAGGTGGATGCAGAAAAATGCATCCTTAAGATGTAGGCAGGGAAAAACTTTGCCTCAGCTGGGACAAGGCCTAAGAGGATATAAGGATTTGGGGCCACAGGGTGCAGAGTAACAGTTGCTGAATTTACTGCCCGGAGGTCCTGAACCAGCCTAAAATCCTCGGTCCCCAGTTTTTTGACAGGTAATAAGGGGGTGTTCCAGGATGACTGGCACAGTTGAAGGAGCCCATACTTTTCAGAGTCTGTCAAGGTGTTTTCGAATTCTGATCTGGTGCTTGTGGGGAATGAAGTACTGCTTTTCCCTGACGGGGGGGTTGGGGGAGTTCTGGCTTTAATTCCACTACTACTGGGGGCGGGCATGTTTCAGGCTAGCCCTGGGGAGGGTTCTCTTCAGCCCATGTACCTGGAATCTTGAGGGGAAGCTCAGGAATCTCAGTAAGCCTTCCCTCAGGGGCACAGAGCTGCCGTTCTTCTTGTGCAACTGCGAGAGTTAGAGTCTTTGTCTCAGGTCCTCTCAGTTGAAAGGCTGCTGTGCCATCAGAATCAAAGGTTATGTGTGCCCTCAGTTTGCCTAATAAGTCCCTACCCATCAGGACCACAGGGAAATTGGGGAGACAGAGGAATTCGTGCCTTCCTTCATGGCTCCCAAGATATCATTGTCTAGACACTAAGAAGGGGTGGTGGGCCTGGTTCCCTGTAGCCCCAACAATAGTTGTATGCTTTTGTGAAAGGGGGTCACTGGCTGGATCACAACTGAGTGTCTGCACTCATGTCCACCATGAGGTCAATGGATGGCCCCTATCCTCATCGGACCATAAGCTTCTGGGGGCCTAGTAAAATGGAGCCCAGTCTGTCCTCCTCCTCCTCCTCCTCATAGCCTTCCAGGGCTGCCAGTCTGACAATATTTTCCTCCCAGGGCTGGCTTCCCTGCGGGTGGGCTGAAACCTTCCCTCGACAACTCCGCCTCTGCTTTTGGGAGTCCCTGGCCCACTGGGGACATTCACTCTTCCAGTGCCCACTCTGGCAACAATAGGCACATTGATCTTGCCTTAGTTCCTCCCTGGGGTGGGGGTGTCCCGGGGATACTAGTTGCTGTCTGTGGTGATTGCCCCTGCCTCTGCCTCACCTGACCATTCAACAAGGGCTGCGCAAGGAGGTTCACTTTCTTTTTCATCTTCCTGTCGGCCTCCTGTTTTGCCTCTTAATCTCAATGGATAAAAACTTTCGTGGCCACCTCCAAGAGATGGCTGGCGTTCATTCCAGCAAATCCCTCCAGTTTCTGCAATTTTCACCTTATGTCCCCTTGGACCTGGCCAACAAAAGCAGCGTTAATCATTCTCTGGTTTTCAGTGGCTGCTGGGTCTAAAGGGGTGTACAAGTGGAAGGCCTCACACAAACGCTCATAAAACTGGCTGGGACTCTCATCTGGTCCTTGGAGGACATCTGACGTTTTGCTCACGTTCATGGCCTTTCTCCCTCCTTCCTTCCTGCCTCCCAATAGTGCCTCCTGAAATCATTCAAGCCGCTGGTAGCCTCGGTCATCATTAGGGTCCCAGTGGGGGTCTTCCTCGGGGAACAAGGCTGAATGTAGGTTTGGGCACTTAAGGTGCCCGCCACGTCACAATCTTCCAACCATGTCAGAGCTACCAACGTTACATGGCGCTACTCTTCAGTATTGAATAGAGTCCGAAGAAGCTGTCGGCAGTCTGCCCAGGGGGTTTATGAGTTTGGATGATGGACTTAAATCAATCAGAGATTGAGGTTTTTCCATGAAGGAGGGAGTATTATGTTTCCAGTTTAGGAGGTCTGTGGTGGTAAAGGGCCGATAGACGAATGTCCATCTGCCTCCTAGTCATAATACAGCCTGGTCACAATACACTGGGCCTTGGACCTCCCTTGGGGCATCTGCAGGGCGGTGGGAGTCTGAGGAGAGGAGGGGGTCCTCGTGGAGACTGGTTGGATGCCTCTGATTGAATGGGGGATGTGAGGTGAGAACTGGCAGACTCGGAGTGGGTATAGAGTCCACAGGACTTGGGGGGGTCAGGGGAGTTGAGGCCCCAGAGGCTTCCGGGTCAGATTTTACAGGTGTGACTGTCCCTTGAGCTTCTCCTGATGTTGAAGGTGAGGGTGCGGAACTAGGTGCCAGTGGCAGGGGTAGATAAATTGGCACAGAGGGCAGTGGTGTTTCCCCAGGCTCTCAGCCAGTACAGGCTCCTTTGATTTCCCACTCCATTTGGAAGTTGTGGCAACCCTAGCTACCATGATCCTACAGGTTTCTTCCAGACAAGGTCTTAGCCATTTGAGCTTGCTGAGAATTGCATCACGTGAGCAATCAATGTAGGGAAACTGATCTGGGTGCCCAGGCCTCCCTACAATTACCCTATAAACTTCATTGACTACAATTTTGTGTATTGACCCTTCTGGGGCCATCCTACACCAAAAGTGGGCCAATCTAATTCACAGAGGTTCCTAAGCTTGTTAGGAGTTAATTTGAGTCCATAGTCTCCATAAAAATCCCTTTTTAAAGTTTTAAAGCATACACTCCAAGGGGGTTCCCTTACTCTGATTTCCACTTATTTCTTCCCCTTACCAGATGTCAAGACAGACATGGGGTGGGTAGGGGGTCCTCTTTTCTGACACACAGGAAGAACAATATACACAGTCACCCGGCCAGAACTGCACCTACACAGGATCCTCACTTGCTTTGTAGCCAGGCTATGTCTCAGACTCATACTTACATACACACACTTCTATCTGCTTCCTAAACCTGAGAGACATGGTTTCAACTTAGATAGGGCTACTTGGGTGTCTCTGGGAGGTGAACAGGCTCCCCTTCTGCTTCCAAAAGGCAGGCCTATTATTTGAACCCAGGTCCTTACCAGTCTGACGGATGGGGCTCCCAATTGGTTCTCAAGCCTTCTCTGGGTTCCTTTGTGCAACTGAGAGTTGCTTTCTGGTGCGCCAAGAGGCAAGTCCCTCTATTGGATCAACAGGTCCTCTGGTGCTTGGTGGGACACTCTCCCAAATGGCCCAACACTGTCTCCAAATCCTGGACTGGGCCTCAGAAATGTTGTGGGATATTCAAGCAGGGAAATGGTATATCAAGGCTTTTCAGGAAGCAATATTTATGAGTGTGCTGGCAGTGGCTCAGTGGATTCACATCTGAAGGCTGAGCCTTGTGAACAAAGGGGCCTTGCCTTACATACCCTTGCATGCAGGTTACAGAAGCGAGAAGCAAAGTTTAACCCATATATGGTTGCTTGTAATTTCATTGGCTACTTCATCCTCAGTGCTCCATGACCGTTTTCAGGTTCTGTTTCTTTTAAGTTTCCATTTCCTGCCAAGTCTTCCCCTCCTCCCCACTACAACACAGTTTTACTATGCCAACACAGGCTGGCCTCAAAACGGGGTGGTTCTGCCTCAGAATCCCAAGTGTTGAGATTATACTACTATCAAAATATTAGAAACTTGTGTTTCATCTAGAACTCTTTTGTGTGTGTGTGTTTTTCTCTTGTCATATAAATTTAGAATATAGATGACAATCCAAATTTTTGTGGTAACCCAAAATCAAAACTCCAATACTGAAATAAGAATATTTTAAAAAGAAAACTCTAGCCTGGTGTAGGTGGCTCATGTCAGTAATACCAGTAACTCAGGAGCAGAGAACAGGAGGATCATGGTTCAAAACCAGCCTAGGCAAACAGTTCGTGAGACCCTGTCTCAGAAAAAAAAACACTACAAAAGAGGGCTGGTGGAGTGGTTCAAGGTGCAGACCCTGAGTTCAAGCCCAGTACTGGAAAAAAAAAAAAAAAAAGAAGATCTTTACCTGGAGAGCCTTCTCCAAATCGCTAAGCCAGAAATATTATAAAGATCGATGCAAACATGAGCCGGCAAGATTATTTAGGGCCGGGTTTGGTGGCTTATTTCTGTAATCCCATCCCTCGGGTGGCTGAGGCAGGAAGATCACGAGTTCAGGTCCAGTATGGGCTACAGAGTGGTACTGTCTAAAAAAAAAATGGAGTATTGCTGAGGGAAATTCAAACATAAAAAGTATCCGAGGGCTAAGAGCATAAGGATTAGCGATTTAATAAACAGCAAGAAGTAGCATTACGAGAAAGCTTTGCAATCTAAGCGCTAAAATGTGTACGGTGGAGGGCGTTAGGCAGGGGATGCGGGTGGGAACGATTAGGCTTCAGTCCACTCTTCTTGTCCTTGGCTGTCCGGGGCTGGGGCCATTACCTTCGCCGATGCGTAGTCCGTTCTGTTGCCTGAACATCCTCACGGAACCCAAGTCCCACACTCACCTTTCCCGGGAGCCCGGAAGCCAGGTTGCTTACACCTGCAGCGGCCTCTCACAGCCCGCATGCGCGGAGGCATAGCTCCTCCAACCCCCCCTCCCCGCCCCGCCCGTTCCCCCCTGCTAGGTTTTGCGCAGGCGCAGGACTTCTGCCCCGCCCCGTCGCTGCGTCGCTTGCCCGCGAGAGCCTAGTGGCCGCCCGCACGTCGCGTTTTTGACTGGCGACTGCGGCGCGCTGTCTGACGCGTCCGATTGCCTCACTTCCGCCCCCTCCCGGGAGGCGGCGCTGGGCCGGTGGCAAGCCCCCGGAGGGAGCCGCGGTAGTACGACGGAAGATGGCGACCAGCGGCGGTGAAGAAGCGGCGGCAGCGGCGCCGGCACCCGGCGCCCCGGTAACGGGGACGGATACGACCCCGGGCTGGGAGGTGGCGGTGCGGCCCCTGCTGTCCGCGTCCTACTCAGCCTTCGAGATGAAGGAGTTGCCGCAGCTGGTGGCCTCAGTCATCGAGAGGTACCGGGCGGCGGCCCCGGCGGGGCGGCGCAGGGGGGGAGGGGAGGTCCACCGGATCGTCTGGACCTGCTCTCAGGGCCGTCTCCTGCCGCTTGGGGACCCCCCCCAACCCCAGCTACAGCTTAGGGGCTCCCTGGCTCTGGGAGAGGGCTTGTCCGGGGTTCTTCCGGCCGCCCCTGTAAATCCTCTGTGCCTCAATTTCTCCTGCCGAGCAAAACTTTTGAGGCCGCCCTTGCGGGAGGGCGTGGTCGGACTCGTTTGAAAGTGGCGTAGGGTTTGCATCGCGCTCTTAAGGCGAATGTCCCCCGGGCTGCCCCGGTGTTAAGGTCAAGGCTTGGATGAGTTTGCATTTCTCGACCTCACTCCTGCCCCGTAGCCTGGGCGGGAGCGGAGCCCGGGGTTTAAATTGGAGCCCTACCAGATAATTTAATAACGGTTTCGCCTTGGTGCTGTAATCACTGGGGGCACGTGCTATTTCTGTGACCAAAGCCACTAGTTACCAGTGATGACTTTCATTTTACTTTGCAAACCTTGGACGGTTCTCCTGTAACGGTCTTTGATTGAAGCATTTCAGCGTGTGAATCTCCCAAAGGAGTGTGCTCTAGTTCATCTCTCTCTCTCTCTCTCTCTCAGACTATTTCCAGACTCTTTAAAACAAACAGACAAACAAACTGGACTGTTTGTTGGCTTGCTGTCACTTTTTTTTTTTTTTTTTTTGCCTCTTTGCACAGACATTTCTTAGGTCTTGAGAGCTGTGTTTGTGGGAAGGTGGTGGTTTCAGAGTGTCTGTGTCTTTCCTGATACACTGGACTCAGAGCGTCTTTTATTGAAAGCCGTCTCACTTTCATTTTCCTAGCCAAACCTTGCTTTAGCAACTCCCTGCAATTGCTAAGTGGGTCATTTTAGCTTCTTGCCAACAAGGGTATATCTGGTATTGAGAAGGTTAGAAATTGCTCAAGCGAGTCCCATGGTTTGAAACACTATTATCGTGCTTATTAGGTTTGTGATGCTTTGAGTGTAGAAATTTTAAACAAATTATAATAAAGTAGTGGTTTCATTTGGTGACTTAAGAATCACCTACCTGCTTGTTAGCTAAGAATGTTCTGGCTAACTAAGACTACTATCAAAGATAGTAGTCTTGAATCATGTAACCTTTCTTTATTGTCTTAAATATTTCCATTATTGATTTTTCCTGAATCATACAATGTTACTTACAACTCACAGTATTCTACTTTTTGTTCTTCTGGTTGTCAGGTGAGAAAGTTATAAAATCATTTGTTGACTGACACCCTGCAGTACATCCTGTGTTATGGGACTATTCTTTTTAAATTACAATACATAAGCAATCCCCTCTAACCTGTTGAAGGAGCCAAATTCATCAAAGTAAGTTTGAAATTTGTTGGTTAAGTGCTAGTGACCCTTCCACACCCTGTTTTAGTTTAACCAAGACTTGTAATGTCTAGTAAAATTCCCTTTTTGGATTCATAAAAGTCCATACTGGTGGGTGTTTAGTAACACCAGTTTTATTGTAAGGCAAGACTTTTGAAGGCTTTCTGGTTTTTGAGGCTCAGTTAACTTTGAAAGCCCACTGTGTGTCTTCCTCAAGCTCTGTGAGAAGATTATGATCCATAATGGAAAATTTCCATTAGAAATATCTGGGTTCTAAGTTCATTGCAGTGTAAAACAATACCAAGTATTAAGTGTAGTGCAGAGTGTAGATCAGCAAACTTTCTGTGACTGGCCAGAGAGTAAATAATTGCAGATCCTATGGTCTCTGTGTGGACTGCTCAACTCTGTCATTGTGGTGTGAAAGCAGCCAAGCACAATACTTCCCATAGATGAAGCGGCATAGCCTCTATTTGCTTAGAATCTTGTATGTGAACGCTGATATTTGAATTCCATGTGATGTTTACATGCCACAGAATGTTCAGCCATAAAAAAATACATAACCATTCTTAGCGTGGGCTGTATAAAGATAGGCAACAGGCTGAAGTTGGTCTGCAGACCATAGTTTGCTGTTCCCTGCTTTAGAGCACACACATTATACCTTGCTATTAGTTTCTCAAAGTTTTCTTTATTTGCATTTCCAAAAAGTGGAGTAAGGTTCTCATTAAGAGAAATACTTCTTGCATAGTGAGTTAGGGCCAGAGTATCAAATCAAAGCCATTGCAGCTAGATGCTGGGGGGTGGGTTGTTTTCTAGCTAATCACAGGTTTAGATGTCTAGTCTGCTACTTTACTTGTGTGGTTGCTACTCTGCAGTTCCCTTGTTTCTTTTGTTGTGCCTGTCCTGTTTTTCTTCCTTGTCTCGAGGGACCTTCTATTTTTCTGTTGCAGTCTACTATTCTCTGCTTCCCTTTTTGATGCCCTGGCTCCATCATGCCACTCTTTACTTGGCAGCCTGTTCATCCATTGATTTCATCTCCTTTGACTGTTGGGTGTGATGACATTTGCTCTAAGTGTCTTCTCAGTGATTATGCCATTCTATTTCCTATCTCTAGTCTTTCTTGCTTTTATAGTTAGATTGGCCTTTTAAAGAAAAGATATTTTAAAATTCTTAGGTTCAAACCCAATTTGATAAGTTTGACTTTGTAAACAAATTGTGCAACAAAGGAGCAATAGATTAGTGAGGATAAATTGTGTTGTGTATACTTAAAAGTGTCAGTAGGTTTTTAAGAGAAAAGATCCCCAAGTTTATTTAAAGGGGAGTTCACATTCATTTCTATTTGTCTACAACTAGCAAATCTTTTAATGGTAAGGACTGAAAAAATTTTAAACATGATTACTTTTCCAGACCAGAAATCAAACTAGAAGTTGTTCAATGGAGTACATGACACTAATATAAATGCTAAATGTAACCTTCTTTGTTAAGATACAGTTCCTTTCTGAACATTGTACAAGATATGCCAGTGAGCATAGTTGTCATTGGACAACTTGATTAATTCTTTATAGGTTAAAAAAAAATTCTCTCTCCCTCTGAGCTCTTTCTTGGCTGTCTGGCCTTTTTCAGTCAGCCTTATTGACAGTCTCTGTCTTCCACATACTTGATAGAATTTAGGACAAAGATATCTTCTTGGGAAGGAGAGGAGCTGATACAACATCCCTATTAGGTAGTACATAGTTAATTTCCTAAAAATCTTGGTAGGGAGAATGTTATGCAAAGTTATCTTTTGCATTTATATGCTGTAGGACATAATTTGACAATTGACCTGTCAGTGGGGAAAAAAAAGCCCACTATGAAAAGATAGAGTCTAATTGTGAGATTAGTTCTGGTAACTTATGTTTCTATGTCTTAGTGTCACATTCACCATAGGTCTCTGTCAAGAGTGTAAGGGAAATAATATGAAAAGAAAGCTTTCAGTTCTTTGGCTTAAAATGACAACACAAATACACACACACTCACACAACCATATATATGTATGATTGTGTCATGAAACAAACATGATGGACTCTATACTTAGGATTCATCATGAACTGATAAGGTTAAGGGGCTTGTAGAGTTTTTACAGTTTGCAAAAAAGTATGTTATCTAAGAAGAGAGTGAATCTTTAGTCTTTTATTATGTCCAGTTTTAGATTTCCATCTCTTCCTAAAAAGGGCTAGCTATTTCCAGATCCTAGCCAGTTTTTTTTTTTTTTTTTTTTTTTTCACTTATCCATCACATTGAATTGCTCTGACCTGGCTGCTTAACTGCTGTTTCCCTTTGTACTCTGCCATGTGTTTATTTATCATAGACTAGAAAAGCCTCAGATTCCAGCATTTTAGGCTCTGTGGTGTTTTGGTGCAAAGTTTGGTAGAGGCAGGTGTTTCAGGACAATAGCTTGACCAATCAGAGGAAAGACATATTTTGACTTCTAAGTCCCTTTATTTTTGTTCCTTTGTGTTGTATTTGCCTTCAATTTCTTCATTCTTCCTCTTCCTACCTAACCATTGCCCTTTGTTTCATTTCTCCATTTCTTAGCATCCTCTGGTGTCTTGATGTCAGTCAGATTCTTGGGAAATTTGGGTGGGAGAGGGAAGGTAGCAGCACATGTTTCTTAGGTTAGTAATATACAGTTTCTTAAAAAAAACAAAAAAAACATTTTTCTTACTTCAAGGCCTCCCCCAACCCCTCTTTAATTTGGGTGGTACTGTGATTTGGACTCAGGACTTCTCAAAGGTGTTCTACTGCTTGAGCCAAGTCTCCACCCTTCAAGTTTTTGTTTCTTTTCTTTCTTTTTTGTTTTTGGTGGGACTGGTTTGAACTCAGGACTTCATGCTTGCAAAGCAGGTGCTCTACCCCTTGAGCCACATCTCTAGTCCATTTTGCTCTGGTTATTTAATTTTTTTTTGTAGTACTAGAATTTGAACTCAGGGCCTCACACTTGCTAGACAGGTGCTCTGGTACTTGAACCACTCTGCCAGTGGTTATTTTGGAGATGGCATCTCTGTGAACTATTTGCCTGGCTGGCCTGGAACCTTAACCCTCCCAATCTCAGCCTCCCAAATAGCTAGGATTACAGGCCTGAGCTGCCGTGTCTGGCTCCCTTCAAGTCGTTTTAACACTAATGTTTCTCAGGTTTATCATCAGTTGTCCCCTAAGCAAATTGTAAGTGGGCCTGAAGATGGCTCCGTTTTTCCTGTGCCAAGGTCTACTTTTCCTCAAAATACATTTTTGTTTCCTTATTGAAATAAAGTTGTTCTATGTTTCTAGGGGAGTAAATTGGGTTCCTTATGTCACAGTGGAATCCATGAGGCTCTGTGTTCAATCCCCAGCACAAGGGAAAAAAAAAAAAATCATAGTGGGGTGACACAGAACCAGGCAATAAAATTAATTTATTCCTATATTTTTCATTACCATAATGAGACTGAAAGCACAGAATAAGTTCATCTACTGGATGGGCAGGTTTTTTCCTTACATTTTGTAAACTTGTTCAGCTGAAAAAAGTGGGGGTACATAACTCTACTTTTGAATGAAGCTGGGAAGGAAAATGTCACTAAAACACACTTAATTGCACAGTGGGGAAATCTTAAAAATAAGAAAGCAAAGGATGAACGTAGAAGAGTGTATGAGGTATAAGCAAGGGGATTTATTAGGATGCTGGTTACCAGTTACTTTGAATGCTGCTTAGTGTTTATATGTTTTTGTTTCATTTTTTTTTTTTTTTTAATCATCACAAGTAGAGAAAAGTGACCCCGATGGACAGGAAGGTCCTTGTATATCATAGGTGCTCCATAAGTATTTTTTCTTGGTGAAGAAGCTGTTCTAAAATAAGGGACTAATCTTTGATACATACTCATTTAATCCTTGATAAATCCCCAAATAGCAAAGTGCTTGGAATGGCAGACTTTTCAGTGTTTGAGGTGATTCATCACTCACATTGGCACTTTCCAAACATTGGCCTTGTCTTTTTGGCTTTGTGTTCATTTGGCAAGTGGATAGACTTGCTGATAGTGAGTGAGTGCAAGTCCTAAATCTGTTTACATTTCCCTTGTTCAGCTGATACTTCTTACTGGGGATTAATTCATTAAGGAAACTATTTAGCCATATCTTTCTGCTCTTTCCATTTAATAAGATACATTTTAGTCTCTTTTTTTGTCTTCATGTTTCATGGACTGTGGATTAGCCTCTGATTTGATAAAGAAAATTACTTAAATGTATCCAGCCTTTATACCTAGTTCGGCTTCATATTTTCACAGAAAAGGTAATTTCCTCAGCCAAAGATGAGAGACTTGGTTCAGAAATCACCAATTCTGTTTAGTCAGCATGTAGGAGACCAAGGTTTGGGTAAGGGTGTTCTCCCCTCTCCTTTTCTCCCCTGCCCTATCACCTAACTCTTCTCCTCTCCCCTCCCTTCTCCTCTCCTATAGTAAGGTATTTAATTTTCATTCTTTGAGCTTCATTTTGTGGTGCTGAGGATGGAACCCAGGGCTTTGCCAATGCTAAGCAAGCACTCTGCCACTGAGTGATATGTCCAGCCCCGAATCTTGAATATAGGGATGGTAACAATACTTCCTGACAAATAGGGTTGAATAAGGTACTGTTTGTGAAAGGGTGTGTGGTGTGCAGCAGTCACCGAGTGAAGCTGGTTGTGCATTTTCCTTGCAGTGAGTCGGAGATCCTGCACCACGAGAAGCAGCATGAACCATTCTACTCATCCTTTGTGGCACTTTCCACGCACTATATTACCACTGTTTGCAGCCTCAGTAAGTATGCCACTCTTATCACCCCTGTCTGAGGGCTTCTGAATAGGGGGTTTGTTTATCTCTGGTCAAAATATCAGAACAAGTTGTTAATGAAGTCTGTATTTACCCAAGAGTGGAGACAGCTGTCTGCCTGCTGTGAGGTGCTCCTGCCACACCCTTTTCTAGGCCAGCTGAATGGGCTTTAAAAACTGCTAGCTTCATAACCATTAAGTCAGCCTCCTTCCCTTTTTAATCAAAAGTATTTTATTGACTTCACTCCATTACTGGTGTTTTAGTTTTTTGGAGGTAGTGTGGTAGATACTGACCTGTGGAGTTAGCAGCCACTATATCATAGGTCTGTTCCTTATTGGTTTTAGTAAGAATGTGACTTTTCCTCATGTTCTCTGATACATGAAGGGAATTCCAATTTCACTTCCCCATTTTTCTGAAAATTTTTGAACTCCCAAAATGACCAAGTCTTACTTTCCATTATTTCTGAAGTTTTGCATTTATTTTTTAACCCTAACTCAGTTCTGAAGAATTCTAATTATTTGTTTACTTGAACAGTTTGCTAAGCAAGTAAACCAAAAGGAAACTCAAGAGTTGCTGGATAATCTTTCAGTGTCCAGTGATGTTCATGATAGGCATTGGCAACTGCTGCAAGAACCAGTTTTAGCTCTGAAGAAACTTTGTGTAGGAAGCCCCTTGCAAAAAACATTTAAAACCTATGGGAAAAGAGATCTTTATTCCAGTGGCCAAGAACATGAGCTTGAGAGGCAGAATTTCTCGATTTGAATTTAGCTGTGTAACCTTGGGCAAGTCATTTAACCTCTTTAATTTAGTTTGCTCATGTGTCAAAAGTGGAAGGGAAGCTGGGGATGGTGGTACATGCCTGTAATCTCAGCACTTGTGAGGCTACGGCAGGAGGATTGCAAATTCATGGCCAGCTTGGGCTACATGTGAGACCCTGTCTGAAATAAACAAACAAAACTGAAAAACAAAAAAGTGGGGGTAGAGAAGAAGAGAAGATAATACCTACTTTATAGAATTGATCTAAGGACTAAATGAAGTGCTTTGCACTTAGTGTAATGTATTTCTTATGATAGTTACCTAAATGTAACTATGTAAATGTAAGATAAATTGATCTATAAATAGTTGATGGTTATCAATGTCAAAATACCTTTGTTTGCTCCTTGGGTTTTTGGTTCTGAATAATTACTATCATGGAATGATACTGGGATGCCGAACATATGGAACGCAACACTTGTTCTGCTTGATTTATGACTGTGAGGCTGAACCATCTGAGATTAAGTGAAGTTTATTACTTTCTCAGTTCCCCGGAACCAACTTCAGTCGGTGGCAGCAGCCTGTAAAGTTCTAATTGAGTTTTCTCTCCTGCGTCTGGAGAATCCAGATGAGGCTTGTGCTGTGTCCCAGGTGAGAGCCCATTTTGAAATGGAGTTGTGAGTAGCTATTAGAATTGATGGAGAGTGGGTAGCATAAAGTAGAGGCTAATACATTTCTGTAATGGGCTGGATGTAAATCTTTGTGGGCCCTGTGGTATCTGCTGTAACTAATCAGCACTGCCTTTGTACAGCGAGCGCAGCTGTAGATGATACGTAAATGAAAACATGGCTGCTATATTAAACTTCAGTTACACAGATAGTCAGTGGCCATCCTCTGATGGATAGGGCTATAGAGTCTTTTTTCAGGTAGGCAACATGAATAAAGTATGTTGGTTGACACTTTGGGATTGCAGACTCCAGTGAGAGGGCCCTGTCAGCTCTGGCTGATTGTTGCCGTGAAGGAATGCAGGCTGAAAGTTGCCATATCTGGTGAATTATTGAAAGATGTAAGAAATCTAGTTTGTGTATGAAACCTTCCATTTTTATAAAGATTAGCTTCAGCTTCAAATTGAAAATAAACAAAAACTGTGAGAATAGTAAGATATGTCTATAGGGCCAGGTAGGGTCTAAGAACCATCAGCTTTTGATCTATGTTTTGTTTCCCCCCCCCCCAATTTATAGTTTTCTCTCTCTCTCTCTCTCTCTCTCTCTCTCTGTGTGTGTGTGTGTGTGTGTGTGTGTGTGTAGTGCTGGGAATCAACCCAGGGCTTCATGCATGCTAGGCAAGTGCTCTACCACTGAGCTACATCCCTAGACTCTCCAGTTGCAGTTCTTTATATGAACCTAAATTTGGTTCTATGCTAGTTAAATGCCAAGAATATATCTCCTGTAAGACATTTGAATTTGTTTTCTTTTCAGAAACACTTAATTCTCCTAATCAAAGGCCTGTGCACTGGCTGTAGCCGACTAGACAGAACTGAAATTATCACCTTCACAGCAATGATGAAATCTGCCAAACTTCCACAAACAGTGAAGACACTGTCAGATGGTGCGTGTTCCTTCTACATGGCTACATGGCCACCATTGCCTTCTGCTAGTACTCTCATCACTTTTTTCTGCTGTATTTTATAGTGGAAGATCAGAAAGAGCTGGCCTCACCAGTAAGCCCTGAACTGAGGCAGAAAGAGGTACAGATGAATTTTTTGAACCAGCTGACCTCAGTTTTTAACCCTAGAACTGTAGTATCATCACCCATCAGTCCACAGGCTCTGGTGAGTTGCTTTAGCCACATACCCTCATTCCATGGGGTTTTTTTTAAAGACAATAATACTACACTGTTTGAAAAAGGGTTGGAGGGAGGAGAGGGGGAATGGAAATATAATGGAGGGGATGAACTTGTTCAAAGTACACTGTACACATGTATGGAATTACACAATGAAATCCCTTCGTGTTAATGTATGCTAATTCAAAAATAAAATAAAATCATACAATGGCCAGTTAAATCATTATCTCAAAAAAAGATGATAACACTAGAAAATTCTGTGTTTGTGATATAAAACGATAAATATTCTCTTGGTATTTTGGTCAAAGGATTGACTACATATGTGATGGTCGTCCCATAAAATTTTATTGCCTAATGATCTTGTTGCCATCTTAGTTTATGTAAATATATTAGATGTTTAAACAATAATGCATTTCTTAGATTATATCCTGCTTCTCAGCAACACATGACTGTACATCCCTGTGGTGGAAAAAATAAAAGAATACAAAGTGAAGTAAAATTCACCCTAATTTTTTTTTTTTTTTTTTTGGCAGTGCTGTAGTTTGAATTTTTGAACTTAGGGCCGTGTACTTGCTAGGCAGGTGCTCTACTTCTTGAGTCACACCCCCAGCCTTACCTCAGTTCTTACTGTCATGATTACTATGATGTTGATTGATCGTTCTTCTAGGTACTTCACAATGCAAATAAACAAAAAGCATGTGTAGTCTTCTGTAAAAGACAGAAGTCTATACTAGTTGGAGAATAAGTATTTTTTCAAAGCTATATATTTTTCCTTTCCTTAGAAAAACAATCTGTATTTTCTCCAATATCAGTGAAGAATTTTCAAGTCATTAGCTGGGGAGTTTAAGGGTGTCTGTGGAGGTCTTGCCCACTTTTATTTTGCACAGCAGGGTAGCTGGCAGTGAGCAGGTGGGTAGTGTCTTGATAGACCCTGCTGTGTTCTTCAGGTGGAAGGAGAAAATGATGAGCAGTCATCCACAGACCAGGTCTCTGCTATCAAGACCAAGAATGTGTTCATAGCTCAGAATGTGGCTAGTCTTCAAGAGCTCGGTAAGACTCCCAGCAGCCATTGGTTCTCTGCTTACAAAACTCCTTGAGTGTTCTTCTTCCAGATGAAGAGTCAGGCATCAGAGAGAGGCTTATTTGTGAGGTTTTATCTTCTCATTAATCCAGGTGCTCAGAGAAGCTACTTCGTGTATGTTTGAACCTTCCATATTTCCTGCGCTACATTAACCGGTTCCAGGATGCAGTGTTGGCCAATTCCTTTTTCATCATGCCTGCAACGGTAGCAGATGCCACTGCTGTTCGTAATGGTAAGGTGCTTTTTGGAGCACTAATGAAAAAAGATGTAATGGCTGGGTTTTTATGGCATGCTGACATTCTTCATCAAATTATAGAAGCAAGTGGTTCTGGGAAACGCTTGTTGATCTTCTTTGTTGTGTTCTAGTTTTCATCACTGGTGATTGATGTAACTATGGCACTGGATACCCTTTCTTTACCTGTGTTGGAACCTCTTAATCCTTCTCGTCTGCAAGATGTGACAGTCCTCAGCCTAAGCTGTCTGTATGCAGGTGAGAAATGTCTAGATTCATTTTCTCAGCCAAGCAAAGGTATGCTTTCATGAAACCATAAGAATCCTGAGAACTCTGCCTTCTTTTATTTGCTTCCTTACCTCAAAGAACAGCTAATGTTGCATGTAGGTAAAATGAAGCTCTCATAGAATCTTTGTAGATAATCTCACTGTTGACTGCTGGCATTGTGCTATGTACATATTTCATAGTATGGGCAGATAGTGTCTACTGTGAAGAGCAAAATGCCAAGGACTGTTGAGATATTAAAATGACTAGTATATAATCCTTACTGATAAGGGGCCTATAACTGAGCAATTGAGAACAGGTAGGGCTAAATAGCATATGAAAATGGAAATGATAAAGGCAATAAAAGATGTGTAAATACTTTCAATAGGAAGAGACTAAGTTTTTTTTGGCAATTACTGGGGCTTGAACTCAGGGCTTGAGCCACTCCCCCAGCCATTTTTTTGTAATGGGTATTTTTGAGA